GTAAGACAATGAGGTCACAATCAAATGCTCTATCTGCTCTATCAAAATTGCAAGATTATTCAGAGTCGTTATCTCCAAGAATCGCATTCGAAAAAGCTTGACATGTTGTGAAAACCAAATTTTTTTTTTACGTCAGATTTCTCAAAACTAGGTACTGAGCAAACAGAACTTCGTCATTTTAAGGTAGCAAAAACGTAACACACAGTCTGAATCAACCAGTCGATCGAACAGTGCAGACCCGATCCGATCTGGACATCTGTGAACTTTCTAACAGAGGTGAGGGTAAAAGTCCAAACAAAGATACATTATAAACCAGGTTGTAAAAAAAATAAAATTACAAAGTTGACACGACCCCTTGAAAAATATTTGGTTACCGCTGAATATAACAGAGCAGATATGAGGAGAGCAAAGTATGGAGACCGCTGCTTTACAAACACCCTATATTTCCCCAAGGACCTCTGAGATAGAGAATAAATAAAACAGCAATGAATAGTTCACCCCAGGGAGTCAGTATTAAGCATGTGAAAATTCAAAAACAAAAATTGATACAAGACAATAGAGAACTTTTCAGTTGAGGTTTTTCCAGTTGAGACGATCAGTTTGGAGCTACAGTTTCCGTTTACTTCTGACGAACATTATCATAATTATGAAATGGAAAGGCTCACAATTTCTTCATACTTTAGAACACATTACACGTTTTGGTTTTCGTAAGAGTTTCATAATAATAATAATAATAATAATAATAATAATAGATAGCATTTGTATAGCGCATATCCCCGCTCAACAGCAGGCTCTATGCGCTTTACACTATATTATTACCCCAGCAGACCATAGAACACTCCGAAACATTCTCAGCTTCCCGGGAAGCATACAATGCAAGCAGCCGATTAAGCGCTCAAACACTAACAAACTGACAAGATCTTTCGCTGTCTATAGCCAGGTACCCATTCCCACCTGGGTGAAGTGAGGAAAATTCGTGTAAAGTGCCTTTCCCAAGGACACAACGTCGGGCCCTTGACGGGATTCGAACCCATGACCTTACGGTTTCATGGTACTTGCAACACGAATAGGTCGTACATAGGCCAAACATTAAAGGTGTTCTCAGAGAATAACATACAATGAAAAAAAAGGAAGAAAGATGCGGTCGAATGTTTGATAGAAAAGAAGGAGCACACCACACTAGAGCAACAGCCAACCACCCACTCACACTACAAGGAATTAACCTGTACATCAGCGCAGCATACCAAGCAAAATATTATGGAGTACAAAATAATCAAATTTTATTTATAAACAATAGATTAAAAAATATCATGTTGTACAAGTTGAAAAAGCAAAGAATCTCACTGAATATTATGAATATAGACAACGGAGAAAAATCTACAACACCGATGTCTGCACAACCAGAAAACTGACAAGTCGATATGCGGTATAAAAATATAATAACAAACGATGGACTAAAAACTCTTAACTGGAACAAACGAGTGACCGTTATTTTTCAATGGAATCAGGAAATGTATACAAGTCATTTGGCAATATTTCTACAAAGTTTGGAATGGAAACAAGCACAGAGAAAAACCACTGTAAGAGAAATCAGAACACACAGTCAGAGAACTGGACCATTTTTATATTACCCGAGGCAAATGTCACTGACCGAGGATTAAGACTTGAAATCCTTTCAAGAACAACTCAGAGAATGACAGCACTAAGTAAAAAGAGATAGGATGCCAACCACCATTCTCACCATCAAAGACATAATCGGACAGCTGTGTACATTGGTATTAGCATCAGTTTTTCCAACGTGAGTTTGAGCGCAGGTGGAAAAACTCTCATGACACAGGCAAACGTGAAATAGGCCTCTTCTTTAGGGTTTTAGTTTAGTTTTAGTAAGAGTTTAACGGCACTTGCAAAACAATAAGGTCATATAAGTACCGAAGATTAAAGGTGTTACAAGAGAGTAACAAACACAAACAAGAAGGAGGAGAGACAAGGACAATAGATGTTTGATAGGAAAGAAGAAGCAAGCCACACCAGAGCACCCGCCAACCACCCACTCTTTAGAGTTTTTCTGAACTGATTGTTATTATGAAATAAAAAATTACACATTTATTCTGTACCCATGTGAAGCAGGGACAAAAGAAATGACAGACAGACCGTATCACTGAGGGAACAGGGAAGCATTTTTGAGGAGACCGAAGCCCTCGACCACGACACGGTAACAGAAGCAGCGTGGTACACAAATCGTCAAAGCCGTGCACAAAGAATCTACCAAGGGATGGGGGTGCAAGAAGACAACAAGAGCCAAAATAACATTCTTTTAAGGAAACAATTATTCTTGGCGCAGTTTATTTTGTAGGCCTCTTCAGGATGTCCATCCTCAATGTTGCATTTCACTCTCGTGCGATAGACAGCAATTAAACAAAAGTCCTACTAGAGCTTACAACACACTAAACTTGTTGTTCATTGTCGATCGCTCAGATTTCCCAAACGTGAAGTGGAAAAGATGACCTCACAATGATGTAGCAATTATGGCTTTTATTTTGCTTTTCTTGTTTTTGTTATGTTCATTATGCTTTTGTGAGTAATAAGTAGAGCTCTTTTTTTTTATTTGTTAATTTTCCTTTGGCTCCTTGAAAGACAGGACAAAACCAGCACGAAATCCCTGAGCACAAGCAGTGTCGAAACTTTCTAAGACAAAGAGCTGCCCTACAACTACAGCGGTCAAAATAAAATAACACCCCCCCCCCCCCCCCCACCCGGTCAGACAACCAACCTCAAAAACTATCCTCTTTCTCTTAATCAACCCATCAGGCTGTTGATACCTCTCTAAATTACACTTGCCAGAAGTCCGTTTCAGCCTCTTAAAAAATTTCTGCTCTCCACACCTTGGCTATTCTGTTTGCAGAATGACCAACAACTTCCTTTATAATTCTCAAAGCAAACTCATAGCCCTTCTTGCTTCCCAATAATTATGGAAATCTTCAAAAGTTACATTCCTCTGCAGTGATGGTAAAAATATATTATTTGAACAAATAGCTAAATAGTCCAGATTAAATAATTTATGATGCAAAAAATTAAATATCCATACGTTACAGCTAAAAAAAAAACAACAACAACAAAACGCAACTCAAAATTGTCCAGATTAAGGAGAACAACATATGATAACCCCTTATTCAACATCTTTTGCCATCACTACAGAAAGCAACCGCTACGATATCGGGAGAACACACAACTACGACGGACATCACGGAGTCTGATTACTGAGAAATCTAAGATACTAGTTACACAAATATATTACACTTTGTGCAGAGTCTTACACACACACAAGGTGCTGCTCAGTGGCAAACTTGGGATGACAAGCTGTCCATATCAAGCCCGATCTCTTTCGACTAACAGACGAACACACTTTAATCCATTTCAAAACGACACTGAATTATTGAAAGGCACAAGCCCCAGTGACTACTGGATAAATAACAATAAAGATATATATATATATTGGTAATGTAAATATCACTCTTGCTAAACTCTAGAAGCATTAACATTATATCGGGCAACACGACAAAACAGTACACACAGAACAAAATAAGACACAAAATACACAGAATAGAAGAAGACACAAAATGCACACCATATAGAAAGAGAGATAAAAATACACACAGAATAGATAAACAGACAAAATACACACAGAACATGGGAAGAGACAAAATACACACAGAAAAGGTCTGACACTGAAGCAAACAATCAAGAAAGCCTACAGACGTAGTAACCAACTCAATTCTGCCACACAAGGAGACTGCACGTTGTCAGACACAGGCCCCCGTGTGTCACCTTGACACTCCGAAAAAAAAAATACAAGAGTTTTTCTTTCAGTTTTAGTAAGAGTTTTACGGCACTTGCAACACGAATGGGTCATACAAGAACCGAAGGTGAAATGAGTTACTAGAGAGTAACAAACAAATTAAAGGTGGATGAAAGATAAGGGCGATAAATGTTCGATAGGAAACAAGGAGCAAATCACACCAGAGCACCTGCCAAAGCCGAGAGTTTAAAAAACAAAAGTACACAGCAAACACCTACGTAGAACAGAAACAACGAGAGGACGGAGATCGCATTGATGGCTGACAGCCTGCCACATAGGCCAGTTCGTGGAAACAAAGGGATGTATAATATAATATATATGTGAGGCAGCGTGGCGAAATCAGGCTCTCGTCAAAATAATCAAAGTGAAGAAACTTGCATTTTTCCCCAGGTTTGAGAATTTTTATCAAATTTTTGTTTTTTGGCTCAACACCTTTCATGCCCATTAAAGAACTCATTTCTGTGTGGATTTTTCAGAAAAAAAACGTCGATTAAAGGCACAAAAAATGTAAATTTTCAGTTACCACGAACTCTTACGCTAAGGAAATAACTAATCTTTGGCGGCCATTTTCTCACTAAGTTTCCCTGACAACAAGTGACCCCAACCTCCTTCCTTCGCAAATATCTCGACTTGTATTCAAGATAAATGGATATTTTTTTCATCTAAATAAAGACGAGTGAACAAGCTTTAAGATGATACCAATAACTCTAAATGCCCCAAAATTGACGAGAGCCTGATTCCACCACGCTGCCTCACATGTATATTCAGTCAAACCTGCTCCGATGGCCACCTGGCCAAGACAATCACTTGAATAAACAACCACTTCCCCCTTGTGTTTTTAAAAAATATTACAATGACACTGTCCGAGATAACCTCCTGTCCTTAGAATAATCACTTTCCTCCTCGATTACATTGGCCGCCTTGAACAATTTCAATTGTATATTAATTATCGAGAAAGAAATTAATTAACGCCTGGCTCCCAGTGAGCAACTCAAGTACGTCCCTTGCGTTACTGAGAATGTCAACTCTTTGAGGAGGCACATTTTGCACGCTTGAAGGCGTGTGGTGTTGGAGTACCGGTACTTTAAAAAAAAAGAAGCATAACTTTGTTATTCATACAGATTTAGCAGTCAGTGCTGTTTTCTTTTTCTAAAACCTAAAAAGACAGGCAGGCAACAGGCATGCATGTTATGAAGCGTACAAATTTACATTTCTAATTCGAGTATGTTGGTTCAAACTGTGTTGCAACATTGTCTATGTTCCTCTGTGGATCCGGACACGTGTGCCCGCTACGTCCTTTATCACTTTGCCGCCTCATCTCGCCGATCGGTTATTTTTACCACCCAGGTTCTTTGCATTTTCCCCAAAATATGATGGCAAAGTATTATGCCTGGGAGTGTATCGTGGTGGTGGTGGTGGGGGGTGGGGGGGGGGGGGGTTAAAACATCTTCGCCCTTCCTTTTCCCCCCATTTTACTACGGCGGGGACCGGGGGCGCAGAGCAAAAGAGCATCAACTGGCTGCCAGCGAGGTCTTAAGAGTTAAGCAGGAAGCAAAGTGCTAGAAGCATACACAGAACTCCCACCCTTATCACTTTCCACACAAAGCAATATATACCTATGAATGGTCCCTCCATACACCGCTTTCAAATCTCTCTCTCTCTCTCTCGACAGGTCAAACTATATACAGGAACAAGGGTATTTTCCACGAGAGGAATCGTTTCACAAACTACAACTCTTCACAACAAAATGAATCTCAATCGCAGAGCATGACAGGATTCCAGAAGCAATGTTTCAACTGACCGCGCGAGTGATATGTTTGAGTGAAGTGAAATGAATGGCAAGGCATATAGACTGATAAATTTGCTATACTCTACTCCACTCAAACCAGCATTGGCTCAAATGAGAGAACAAATTGACTGCTTTGGGAGAAGAACAAAAAAATGTATGTGCACAAATATATGCAACACACAAAGACAATTTCAAGACTTTCAGAAATACGTCACATTTTGAAAGTTCTTTGCTGTCTGTCATCAATCACATATCAAACTAGCACTTTTCAACTCTAAATCACAACCCGAAAGATATGACATGGCTGTAAAAACAACCAGCTTAGCATAGCACTAATCAGCAAGTTCAAAAAGAGTAAGCAGATAAAAAAAACAGATACGCTAAATACATTTTACAGGGAAAGGCTCGTTGCTCTTTGTACGAAATTAAAGAGAGCTTATCAGACTTCGCATTATCTTAGAAGAGCATTACATCAGCCAGCAGTTTAAAAAAAACACTAAGCCAAATTTATTTATTTTTAGTTACCCTTCTATATTGTTTGGAATGAATTGCATGTGCTCAAGAAATATTTTGAGAAAATTTGATTTCTAAATTTTGAAAAATGCAGGGAAAAGTACAAAATATAGGGTACAATTATTAACAGAATGAAACAGTTCAGTGGACCTCATGGACCTGTCCGGTGTGCAATGACGTTGTTGCCCAGGACAGGTAATACAGGTAATATAGAATGAAACAATTTTTTCTCTCTCCTGAAAAATTTTGCTTTCTGGGCTTAGTACAATATGAACAGCTTGCCAATGATTAGCTTTCCAGAGTTTTCCACTGCCAACAGAAGAAAAAAAAAAAAAAAACATGTGACAGATGAGAATAAATCTAGTGAAACTTCTCTTTGAGATTATGCCACTTATGTCAAAAAAAAACTCCCTAGCTGAGCGGAAGACCTTACACTTCTATTGTTTTCAAAATTAATTGGACAGAAGGCCAAAATAAACTTCAACTGCTGGGAAATAGAAGCAAGACACCATCATCATAATTTCACTATCCCTCTCTTCACAAATCCGGATCCTCGTCCACAAAATCGTCCATCCCACCACCGTCCCTGTGGAACGCCGGTTTCGGTTTCTTCACTCTCTTCTTGGTGGCCAGACAGGTAAACAGCACACCCAGAAACACACCGAGGAGCAAGCAGCCGACACCAACCCCGGCAACTGTGTCTGAAAAAAAGAAAACAAAATGGTGAAATGGTATAGGTTTAACGCCCCTGTCAACACTATTAGGTTATTTAAGGGGCGGGACCTCCTAGTTTAACGCCCGTCTCTGATAGGACCGAACTGTGTCTGAGGATGGGAAACATATATATATATATATATATATATATATATATATATATATATATATATATATATATATATATATATATATATATATATATATATATATAACATTCAATGCAAAATCTAACTGATATCTGGTCCCAAGCCTAGTGAAACACTGAGGGTACTTCATTAAATTATTGTAGGATGGTACTGGTTTTGGTAATCAGCAATCTAATTGTATCGCAAAAATCTAATTGATTCTCATAAAAAAGTGCGCGGCTCTGACAGTTTTTTCTCAAAAGTGCGCGACTCTAATGTTCTCCCAGGCAAACATATACCTGCAGTGTGCAGATCCGTTTTTTCAGGCTTGTGTGCAGTTTCCAGCAGCACCCCGTGAGCCACCCAGGACCACATGACTCCGTCATTGACCAGGGTCTCGGGTGTGGTCAAGGAAACCAGGTCGTCTCCATACATCACAGCAACTCCTGCAATTACAACAACATACACAGAAAAACAGGTCATCTCCAAACATCATTGTTATTGTGATTCCTGAAATTTGAAAAAATTAAGAAATTAAAGAAAAACAGGTAGCCTCTATACTTAATTGCAATTTTCTGGAATAACAACAAAAAAACACACACATACAAAAAACACTAGTCATCTCAAAACATCACTGCAATTCCCGAAATACCCCCCCCCCCCCCCCCCCACAAAGCTGGTCACCTCCATATAACACAGCAATTCCTGGAATAACAAGAAGGTACAATCACTAAAATGGGAGAAGCAGACCAAACTGTAGAGCACATCTTCTTCTTTCCTATCGAACATATTTCACCCTTATCTCTCCTCCTTTTCGTTGTATGTTACTCTCTAGAAACACCTCTAATCATCACGTCTTATATAACCTATTTGTGTTGCAAGTGTTGTAAAACTTGTACAAAAACTGAAATTCCCCCACGTGGTGAAATAGGAATCTGTACCAAAAAAAACCCCCAAACAAAACGAACAGCTTTTGGTAAGAGGCAGGGACCAACACGATTCAAGTGTCCACCGTTTTTATGCACCGTTGTAGGTGTTTGGAGGGCACCACTGGTAGGTCCTACTTCTTTTCTTTCCTTTTAGTTTCTGTCTATCTTACTTTTTTCCCCGCCACTAAAAGAACAATACTGAGTCGATGCGCTCCACTCTACTTATGCAAATATGTACTGTCAATCAAAGGTGTAAAAGATTATGCAACAGACACACCCTGTGGGTGGTTGGCGAGTGCTCTAATATGATATCTATCGACTTTATCTCCCCTCTTTCTTTTTTGTTTGTGTTACTCTCTTGTAACACCTCTTTTTTTTTTTTTTTTTTTTGCAGAGGGTTTAACGGGGCTCGCAACTGCATAAGGTCATATGAGCGCCAAAGGGTGGTTGTCAACAGAGAAGTCTTTACAGGGAATCAGACTTACTCTGCTCACCTCTCTAGCTTCAAGAGCACAAGGCCTGCTTCGACTATCAAGGCACCCTGGGAATAGCAAGTCACAAGAGGTAACACCTCTAATCTTAGGCACTTACATACGACCTTATTGTGTTGCAAGTGCCGCAAAACACTCGCTTAAACAAAACAGACACACCCCTTTTCCCAACCCAACATTACCAGCAAAAACAAAACCAAAAATAAAGAAGCTTACCTCGTAGCTTTAATTCTACCACAAGTCGGTATTTACTCTTCAGACTGGCGGCGTCTTCGAACCAGACCTGGTGCTGTGTCGCATTGTCCTGGGCACAAGAGAAGAAAAAAAAAGACATTGCAGTAAGTGACGGTAGTTATCTCAAAAGACAATGCCAGTTGGGTTTGTGTGCGTGAGTGTGAGCGCATGTGTGAGTGTTGGTAATTTTTCATCAGAGCATGTCAGGGCATCATGGAGTACTGAAGTACAAGGGGACACTTGTTTCTTCAGTTTTTTTAAAAAGGGAACTAAGATAGATTTTGCTAGTTGATAAAACTGAAAATAGGCCATTTCCAAGATCACATAAGGGAACTAAAATAGATTTTGCTTGTTGATAAAACTGAAAAAAGGCCATATCCAAGATAACATTTCCAAGTAAAGCTGGATTGGGTAGCGTTCGGGTGGGGAAAGGGGTGTGTGGAGAGGGAGCAGGGGGAGGGGGGGGGGGGGGGGGGGGGGGGGGGGGGGGGGGGGGGGGGGGGGGTGTGGAGAGGGAGGAGGGGGAGAAGGAAGAAAAGGAAGAAGAGGAAGAAGGAAAGGGGGTGGGGAATTCCTTCATTTATCAAAAATACACTTTGTTGAGACAAATAGATTATTTTCACTGTATTTCTGAATAGTTCCCTGAAAAAAAACCTTTTAGACAGTTTGACCAAATTATGGGTTATCTTGCTCAAGGTCTGTCCTGCTGCTGCAAACAAGAAAAGAAATGTGTGTGTGTTTTTGATGCTGTGGAATCAGGCTCTCGTCAATTTTGGGGCATATGGAGTTATTGGTATCATCTCAAAACAGGTTCATTTGTCTTGCTTTCAAGGAAAAAATTACCCTTCTATCTTCAATAGAAGTCGAGATATTTTGGATTGAAATAGGTGGGGGGTCACCTGGTTTCAGAGGTACAAGAGAAAATGGCCCGCTCAAGTTTGGTGACTTCCAAAGCTTGACAGTCCTTGGAAACTTATGAATTTACAGTTTTTTGTGTCTCTAATCAGCGGTTTTCAGTAAAATCCATACAGAAATATGTTTTTTAATTAAAAGAACATAAAAGGTGATGAGCCAAGAAACAAAAACTAGGAGATCAAAATTGGCAAACTAGGAGATCAAAATTGGCAAACTAGGAGATCAAAATTGGCAAACTAGGAGATCAAAATTGACAAACTAGGAGATCAAAATTGGCAAACTAGGAGATCAAAATTGGCAAACTAGCAGGAATTTTTTTTTTTTTTTTTTAAATCGTAAAACCCTCTGCTATTAAAAAAAAATTTTCGACGAGCGCCTGATTTCACCAGGCTGCCTGACATAGGGACACTTGTCTTCGCACCTTGTAGTTGAAAAAAGGAGCGTTGTCCATGTCATTATACTCCCTCAACCTGTACTCCTCATTGTAGTTCGCCATTATGTCTCCGAACGAGACAAACTTTTTCTTGAAGTCACACTTCCCGTTCGAGCTGTCTTCTTGATCATTTTTCTCGGCTGTACAAACATCGTTCTGAAACACAAAATATTCGGAACTAGATTAAAACGTGAGTTAGAGGGAGGCAAAGCAGCACAATAACAGCCATACTGAAATGGAAAAAAACTTCTAGGCAAATGAAATTTATGAAATTGTATAGGCTTAACACCCCAAGCAACAATGTCTCGTTATTCAAGGGGTCGGACCTCTGAAGTTATTGTCCATCTCCAAAGGGACCGAGCCAAATGGGGGAAATTTGTGTAAAGTACCTTTCCTGGGGGGAGGGGGGGGGGAGAAATCTTTTTATTCATTAACTGATCCCGTCCATGATTTTTTCAGGCTCTGGACAGAATTATTTTTCCCTGTTCAGTTTTAGACCTGGGGTGCATCTATTTAATGCATTACTGTGAAGCTGTAAGTTACTCTAACATGTATTGTCATATACCAAACTGATGGGAATCAATAGAGGAATCTGTTTATATCAATAACAATTACCTATAATCTGTTTGTATTGCATTTCCCTTCAGACAAAAACAAATGAGAAAAAAAAATTGCGCAACAGCTCTTCGGAAATTTCGACTTACCGCATTTTCTCAGCTCTACAAGTCCTTATAATCCATAGGAATTAACACAAAATTGTAGCCATATCACCCTAGCACACATTTATGCAAGAATTTCACAAATTTAAATGCATATTTTTCTTTGAAGGGCCTTTTTATTATAGCAGGCTCCGTGTTGTTTACCCTTAAATCTAGCCTACTTAGCAACAACAAAACAACAATTTTTGCAAGAATTTTGCGGAGTTTCGATCGATATTGGCGCTCAGAGATTGAGGTCAGGTTTGTTTACAAGTTCTACTTCCTTTCGACAACTTAAAAAGTAGGAACTATGTTAAAAAGTGCCCATTTGTTTCAGATTTCGTTGAGCCGCTCACAGCGGTCAAATGAAAGCAGCGAAAAAACTCAGAGCCGCTGTCAGCGGCCGAATGGACGGAATCAGTTAACATACGCATGTAACAAAGGACTTTCCAAAAAGCAAAATCAAACCCCCAAAAAAATTACTGCTTACCCCAAAGGATGAGCAAGTGTAGTCAAATCCGTGCCATGGAACACCCAGGATCATTCGATTCAGAGGAACTTGATGAGCTTGATACTCATTCATACCTGGCCGTGAAAAGAAGAATTGATAAAATTTAACAACTCAATCACCATTGTCTCTTTTTTTGAAAAAGTTTATTCAAAGTTTACTCTCTGCCCATTACCTATATATCGGCAGCGCGACCGCACCATCTGCGCTCATTACCAATACATCGGCACAGGCTATACTCAAGCTTTATTTGGTTCGTAAATACTTGATCCATAATTTTAAGTTTTGAAATAAACAAATCTCAAAAGTTGAAACTTCCTGCAACGAAATATAGTGTCTATAACTGCGTAAGTGTGTCGAAAGTTTAAAACAAACACATGGGTCGCCACCACTTGGAGAACGAGTGACGCGTTCATGTTGTCGTCCATTGTTTCTTTGTTACAAACTGGGTAAACAGTTGACCACTCATCTCACTTACGATTTGTGTATGAGTTCTGGGCGGGGCTTATGGGTTATGAGGGATCACATGCTTACCTCACCAGCAGCTGAAAATTGGTGCCTATTGGTTAACAGTGGGAGGGGCCTACCCAACATGATCGGTTGGAGGGACTACCTAACAACAATGACAGGTGATTGAATTATGACAGCTCGCCCACAATGCCATGGGCCAGTGCACAATTTATGACAAAACGTAATGGAGTCACTGAGGTGACCATCTAAGACAGGTGTTATTGCTTAGTGTGATAGGGGTGGTGTGTTAAAATATGGTGGCCGCGTTGGACAGGTGCCCGTTTTACACAGTTAAATTATATAGAAAAAACGCAAGGAGGGAAATGGAAAGTGGCCGTTTGTACAGGTGGCCGTCTTATAGAGGTGGCCGTCAGGGCAGGTTCGACTGTATGTATGTTACTCTATCCTTATTATTTCATTTTACTAATGAAAATCCTTCTCAAACATACACACCTATCATTCACGATAGGATGCACAGAAAAAGACGGCAAGAGCTGGTACAAAAATGGGCAGAGAATGAGTTAACAGTGTTGCCTCCAACCACCCGTTCATTTATTTTGTTTGTAAAATGGCTGCTTATACCGTATGCTTCCCTGGAAGCTGAAATTGTTTTAGATAGCTATCATGTCTGCTGGGGTAATAATATAGATTGTAGAGCGCATAGAACTTGCCGTTGAGCGGGGAATTTGAGCTCTACAAATGCTATTTATCATTCATTAGATTGGCAAGATAACTCAGCTTTAACTACCGTAATACAACTTGGGTAAGGGAATGGTAGCACCAGCCCTGCACACATCTCCGCCGACATCGAGAAAGCTGTCTCCGTTGAGGACAAAGTAATCACAAGCGTCCATCGAGATCCAGGAGAAGTCACAGGTATTGCTCGTCTCAGCACACGGAGGCTTCCACGGAGCCATGCACGATACCTGTCAGATAGCAGTGTGGGGTGGGGGGTGGGGGGGGTTTCAAATAACAGGCCTGAGTTCTTCCTTGCTAAAAAAGAAAATCAATTAAATATTTACTGTTAATATTAACACTTTAAAAAAAAAACAACACCATCCACATAATAGAACTATCTATGGAAGCAAAAGACTGGAAAAGAACATTATTTTTGTTAAATCCTTATTTTCATTACCTCACTACAGACACTGTAGATTAATTTCAAAGGTAGAGCACACAGATGCTACTTAAAAGAGCAAATGCCCCTGACAAGGTAAAGTTAAAGACTATAAAAATAAAACACATCATCACTGCAGGATTCTAAACAGCTAACTCTAAAAGTTTTTTTATCTGAACAAACTGTCAACAAAAATATGTGAAGCATCGTGGTAAAATCAGGCGCTCATCAAAATAATAAAATCAAAGAAATCTGTATTTTTTTAGCAGATGGGCAATTTTTTTCTAATTTATTTCTTATTTTGGCTCAACATCTTTTATGTCCATTTAAAAACGCACTGAAGATGACAGCCACTGAAAAACATTGATTAAAGGCACAAAAATGTAAATTTTCAGTTTCCAAGGATTTTCAGGCTTTGGAAGTTACGAAACTTTGGCAGTCATTTTCTCGCTTATTTTACCTCTAAAACCAGGTGACCCTGACCTCCTTCAATTGCAAATATTTCGACAACTATTCAACATAGATGCATTTTTTTCCCAACAAAATCAAAGCAAATGAACAGGCTTTAACACTTTATCTCCGAGGGGGGTAAACCCACTATGCCGCGGCCCTTTTGAGGTGCTAAATATATAAATGATAAAAACGTCATTAAATGGGTCACCAAATCGAAACTAAAAAACCTATTTTGATAGTTTTTCATCTAATGAATGTCGTTCCGGTAAAAGAGACCTGTTTTCGGCAATTGCCGAAAAGTAATTTCATGTCGAAGTCATTGTAAAGGAAAGTGCCCGCAGCGGCTCACCAACACGGCAATTCCGACCGCGAGCCGCTGAGAGCGGCTTGCCGGAGATAAAGTTAAGATGATACCAATAACTCCATAGGCTTAAAAACCGACGAGCGCCTGATTCCACCAAGCTGTGACACACATTATACAGCAAATTGAATACTGTTGAACCTGCGCCCAACAGCCACAGGAACAAAATGCCCATTCCCAATTCCCCCCTTACATATTTTTTTTTAACAGTATGACGACACTGTGCAAGACATCCACCTGTGTAAGACAACCACATTTTTTCCTCGACAATAGATGGCCGAGTTAGTTTAGTTTTAGTAAGTGTTTAACGGCACTTGCAACACAATGAGGTCATAAAAGTGCCGAAGGTTTGAGGTTTTACAAGAGAGTAACAAACCTAAAAAAGAAGGAGGGGAGATAAAGACGGTAGACGTTTGATAGGAAAGAAGAAGCAAACCACACCAGAGAACCCGCAAACCGCCGTGTTAGACAATTCAGACCGTACGTACCTCAATGATGTGAGAAGTGTTTTTGTTCAGGGAGTCCCTCAGTTTCTTGAGAATCAACGCTAATTGACTGTGGTCCTCCTTGGTGCTGTTGACGTCCGACAAAAAGTAGGGGACTAGGTCAACGTTCAGGATATCTGCGTGCCACTCTCTTTGTCTTTGCACAGCAGAAGATAACCACTCTCCAGCCTTTTCATCGGAACTATTCAACGACCCTGTCAAATCCATTTTCACTGAAAGAAAAAAAAACAAAACCCAGAGATTTTTTTAATATATGTATAAAACTGATGATGTATTTGGCCGTTTTACAGTGCAGTTAATATTTCACTTTGTTATTTCTGCGCAGCCTCACTACAAACAGAAAGGGGATGTTCAAATATAATATTACATCTTTTTTAACCCCCCCCCCCCCTTACACTTTTCTTACATTTGCCCCCACCCCCCCCCGTAATATTACATTGTTCGCTTATAATAATATGACATTTATATCACGCAAATCTGTGTTACAATCATTTTCTATACCCTTTACAGAAAATTCAAGAAAAACATGCATACACACATGCACATAATAATATATGCAGTTCTATATTCACTAAAAAATAACTGAGTAAATCATTCAAGCAAAATATTGCATACATTCTTTCTTATGGGACTCATGTCAATTTCAAAAGTGCCTTAATTACAAATGAAACAAATTAAAGTGGAATTCTGACAAACAAAGTCAACACCTTGGAACTGAAAAAAAACTGTCGACTTTATCCTTTGTACTACTGGCCATTGAAAATTGACGATGACCGGTGACAAGATGTTAGCTCAATTTCAGTGAGTATAATTCTGAAGTTGTCACTCGAACAAGAGATGATGAGAGAACAAAGTAACTGGAGGTGTGTACACCACTAGCTCAGGCCCTAAATATCTCTTCTTAAATAAATCCATCTTGGGATTTAGCCCCAAATTGTTGACTTTACGCAAGGGTAACACTCAAGCGGTTGGCTATCAGAAATACGATTACTTAAACAAAGAAGGTAAGAAACTGGACCACAGTGAGGTGTTGACTGTAAGCAAGAGTTGACTTTAAGCAAGTTAACTTTATCAGGATTCCACTGTATCTGTTATTACTGATCATTATGCTTAAAACAAAAAGTGAAATTAGTTATCATCAACAAAGGCAGTGCTCATCATTATGTCAAAAATACTTTTTAAAACAGGGGCATCAGCTGAGCTATCTTCGAAATCTGGGTCCTGTTCCTGCTCTTTCTCCTATTCTTTCTCTTCTTCCTCCACCTTCATTTCTTCCTCTGTCCTGTGTAAATCCATGTGCCTCTTCCATGCTGCAATACTCGGAAAATATTTTCCACATCCTTTGTGGCCTCTCCACATTCTTTGGCCTATGCAGCCTTTCTTGACCAAGGCTACCCTTTTTTCCCTTGTTTTTTTTTTTTCACCTCACGAAAGAGTAATATTAAATTGGTTCAAGACACCCCCCCCCCCCCCTTCTTACACTTTTCTTACAGAGCCAAAGAGCACCCCCCCCCCCTCCAGGTGTAAGATTATATTTGAACAGCCCCAAAGCAAAATTAGAAACCCAAATTAAAGTATAAAGTGACAATAAGCTAAACTAAGAAGCAACTTATTGAACTAATTGTTATTTTCACATCAGAACATTTCTTTTTCTATGTCTTTAATTTTTCCCCCTACGATCCATGCGTCTTTTTGGTTTCAATTTCAGACCTTTCTTTTTATGTTTTGTTTCTCCCTTTCTTTGTGTCCCCTGAAAACAAACATATGTACCTTTTGCTTGCCCTCAAAGCATTCCAAGTCTTTCTTCCAAAACTATATATACAAGCCTTGCCCAAATAAGGAGAGAGAGGCCTAAATAGGAGGTGACGAATACATAAAAACAGGAACAGCAAAGTGAGAAACATCTATCGTCCTTATCTCCCCTTCTTCTTTTTTATGTTTATTGCTCTCTTGTAACACCTCTAATCTTCTGGCGCTCATATGACCTTAAGCAGTTGCGAGCGCCGCAAAACCTCTACTAAAACTAACTAAAGGGGGAAACAAGTACCGGAAATGCCAAACTTGCGATCATTTCCATGAGTTATGCACATGGTCGAGGCTTGGTCCTTCTGGTTAATGTCAAAGTCAGCCGGAGCAATGAGAGCCGTGAAGGACTTCCAGTGCCAACGAGACACACTTGTTGTTCCCTTGTTAAATACAAACACCTGGAAACAGAAATTTAGTTTTAGTAAACGTTTTTTACGGCACTTGCAACACATTAAGGTCATATAGGTGCCGAAGATTAGAGGTGTCACAAGAGAGTAACAAAAGCGAAAAAGGAGGGGGGGAGATCAAGACGATAGATGTTTGATAGGAAAGAAGAAGCAAACCACACCAGAGCACCCACCAACCACCCACAGAAACAGAAAAAGAGCAAAAACGCTTTTGTCAAGTCAATGAACTTTGTTGATTATAATTTTTAAAAACACACACAAACAAAAAAAAGAAAAGATACTGCTATACTTTATACATATTCAGATTTCAGGTTATTTATCACAAATAATAATATATATTGGTTTCACAATTTTATTGACAATTTTGAACTTTCATGCTTATTTTTAAAATTCTCCCAATACCACTTGATAAATCATTTAAGTGTCATTCAACTAAGTTCAAGGTGTATTATTGTTTCCTTGAACAGTTACCACTTATAATATACAAGTTGTAAAGCACATAGAGCATGCTGTAGAGTATAGATATGTGCTTTATTATTAATGCAGTTATTATCGTTATTACTACTAAATATAATGAAACTGACTATTCAATTCCAAGGTCATGACTTTTAGAGCTGCTACACTCAAAGTTTGAACACAAAGAAAATCAGTTTTTAAAAAAAAAAGAAAAAAGAACACTCCTCCCGCCAGTGGTTTGGGCTTGCCCAGCTTGTGTTAGGAAATCACACCTCTTTATTTGGGTGAGAATCCCTGGTGTGATAGTCACAGTCCTTGGCATCCTTGCAGGGACACTGAGCTGATCTCGCTAGAGGCACAAGCCACATCAACATCACAGCAAGCAGCATCCTTGAGCTCATGCTCAACTCCATGACAGTATGAAGAATTAGCTGGAAAAAAAAGAAAGAAAAAATACTGCATGATATTATATAACTGCAGCATTTAAAAATTCACTGCAATTCTTTTTTAAATTCAATCAAGCGCTTTTTGATCATCATCACATGGCAATGGTTTCCATAGCTTAAAGCAGAGAAAGTAATTACTATATATATAAAAGAAATTATAACATAAAAGAACAACCAAAGTGAAACATGAAGAATCACACTGGACCACCCACCTGGTGACAGGCATTCGTCGGACAAGGACCCACGCCATGTCTCATATTAACATTAATATAAGCAAAACCACACCTGGGTGACCCAATGTATGTCTGTCCAAAGCAGATTTGGATGCCTAAATAGCACAAGTGATGAAAAACCATATTCATTGCAAACACCCCACCCCCCCCCCCCCCCCCCCACCCCCCCAAGAACAAATCTTCACAACCAAAACTGCTGGTATCAACTAAGATTTGAAATTTGCCATCATGACATCTTGGCCACGAATAAAAGCAAAAATCAGTCTACAAACTTTAAAACATGAACACTTTATGTACTTTATTTACTTTTATTAAACTTGATTTTTCAAATCTTATATTTACGTGAAAACACAAAGTGAGAAACCTGCCGCCAAATGTCTAACTCTTTCCTGTTCAATAGCGCTTGCGTTCAACCTGGCCAAAAACGGACGGTCGGGCGCCACAAAGCTACTCTGATGGGATTTCCTAAAACGACAGGTTTGGCTGCAATAAAAAAAAAAAGTTGATCCCTGACGACATTAAAGTTTCGTTTTCATTTCTAGCAAGGAAATTGTGGCTAAGTGTCACCAGCAATCAGAATTTAGTAAGTGTGCAAAAGAAGCTCATGGACGGCAATCTTCCTGTTGATATTTGATTTAATTCAGATTTGCTGGATTCCAGAAATAAAAGGAGGTTCATCCATCAGATTTTCCTGATTAAGTGCAAAAAGAGTGTATACAAAATTAAAGAACTATAGAATATAATGGAAAATAATACTTCAGAAAAATCTTATCTTTACTCTTAACAGAAACCACAAATCAACATTGTCCGCTGGGAGATTATCGCTCATAATCAACCAGATCAAGGTTCAGTAACAGTTAAGGTACAAGTATGAGTAGTAAGGGAGACACTCACATAATTATTTTTATTATTATTAAATCATTTGTCCCAATTATCATTTTCATTCACACAAAACACTTCACTGACATCTTTAATAATTCAACGGGGTGGTTATCCGTACAATTGTGCGAACAACTCTGTCGAGTTATCCGTACAACATTGTATCGTAAAATTGTGCGAACAACTCTTTCTAGTTATCCGTACAATGTTCATTGTACGCACAATATTGCTACACACGAATAATTGCGACAGTTATCCGTACAAGAGTAAGCCTACATGCCCACAGGCCTACATGTTCTGTCTTAGTAGATCTAAAAATTTAGATCTAGATATATCTAGATTCTAGATCAGTGTTTCCAATAGAAGTGATCTAGATCTAGATCTTGGCTTATTTTTACCATCAACCTCCAAAATTCTAAGCTGTGCTGTAAAAATATTTAAGCTTTCTACATATTATAGTTATAGTCTATGTACCTCATTCTGCTGATAGTTCTGATGGCCGAAATGACAGCGTGTGTATGCGTTTGAATAAGTATTATATCATGAGTGTGGGTTCAAATACCGGTCCCGAAAGTTTTTTTGTTTTGTTTTCTTCTTCTCTCTCCTCTCCCGACTGACCAACAATTTTTTTCCCATATAATTGTTTGTTTTGGCTTCAAAGATTTAGAATTCCACTCATATTTTTGTGTAAAAACATTAAAGAAACATATAGAATAGATTCTAGATCTAGATCTAGTCATAATTATAGATCTACTTAGCCTATATTATATTTTAATCGAAGTATAGACCTAGGCCTAGCCTACTTTTCCTTACATAATTACTTTTAGGCCTACCAATTTTGGCCTTGTTAAAGTTATTAATATTGATGCTCAACCCAGGGGAGAGCCAACTGGATGACTAGATCTCTAGTGATCTAGAGTCTAGGCTTATATTTTTACCAACAACCTCCAAAATTCGAATAATTGTACGAATAACTCTGTCTGGTTATTGGTACAATTGTACTAATACTAATAACTAGTTAGAGTTGTACGCACTATTTGTACAAACCGCAGCCTAGTTCAATGCCAATGCTATATATCTATTTTATATTTAGATTCTAGATTAGATCTACACACACAGAAGAAGCCTACACTACACATGATTTTGGTAGTACAGAGGAGCCATCATCAATCATGGCCATGGGGACAGAGAAGGGCACTGGACATCTTGGAAAGTGTGAATACTTTGGTTTGAGTCGTGGACTTGGCACACTCTGAACTGCACCTGATGAGTCATCGGGCTTTCTAGCCAGTTAAAGATTCTAAATAATAAAATAAACAGTGGTGAGTGTTTCAAGTGTTTGGGAACCGAAGCAGAAGACGAACGAAGTCAAAAAGTGTTTGTAACAAATACACCAACATCTTATAACCCCTGCTTACAGTATAACAACAATATAAGGTAAAACAAAGACAACACCTATGAATCCTTCCTCTTCTGCCTCAGTCGAAGTAGAAAGACAGCTCTGTGTCAACATACACAGTACACACAGGACACACACCTCTGTACTTCGACGACCAAACTCTCTTTCGTCCGCGACTTGTGGCTCGTTTGTACTCTGCACTTCCGTAAAGGAAATTGCCTGCCAATCTGGATGCCGGATGTGTCATTGACATATCGACATTCCGGATTATACATGATATCCTGTCAATCGCGTCGTTAGCCGCGGAAATCACAAAGTACACTTTTTGTTTTTTATTCTCTCTCTCTCTCTCTCTCTCTCTCTCTCTCTCTCTCTCTCTCT